TTTGGGACTGAATGATTAAGTAATCTTCCAAATAAATTATTTTCCTGTTAGAACCTCTCTTATATTAATATCAATATTAATAATAATATCAATAATAATAATAATAATATATTATTATTATTATTATTATTATTATTATTATTATTATCCCTATTATTATTATTATTGTTCCTATTATTATCATTATACTGTTGTTATTATTGACATTGTTATTATAATTATACTTTTCATTATTACTACCACTTCTTACTCTAAAACTTCACCTTCAAACCGTTCTTTAGGCACTGAGGAATAGTCATCACAATACGCATCGTCTAACTTACACTTAAAAATACAATTGATAATAAAAATAGGAAAACGGGAAGAAGGGGAAAAATGATGAAAAAAATACTAAGAGAGAAAAAAAGAAAAAATTTTTTTTAGCAACAAAACGGCAAGGAAAAAATGAAACGAAACGAAATGAAACTAAAGTTTAAAAAACCTTACACTTTCAATCAGTATTTATTTTAAGTTCCACAAAAATGTCATAAAAATTTTGAAGTATTGGGCACATTTTTCCTTTTTTTGCACAACAGAACAACCACAGTCATCTTTACCAATTGTTTTTTTCCTCTTCCTCAACTCTCCGGTTCCTCTCCGCCCTCCCCAATCCTCTCTCCGCTTCCTCTCTTCTTCTCCTGTCGTTTACATTATTTGTTTTGCGATTTGTCTGATTCATTGACAACTCAGTGAACTGCTTTCACTTTTCCTTCCTATCTTCTAGTTTTCTTCTATTACCATGTCTTTCTGCCTCTCTCTTTTGATCCTCTGTTTCGGCAGTACTTTTTGCTTCTGTTTATGATGGTATTAATGTTTGTTTGCTTTGTTAATGATCATCATCATCACCATCATCACCATCATCATCAACATCATTAGAGTTATTGTTGTTATTGTTATTATTGTTATCATCGGTATTCCTGTTCGTTTGTTAAACGTCTGTTCTTGGCGTTGAATATCGTAGTTTGGTGTTGCAACAGGAGGTGGGGAAAAAGCATGGAAGAAAGACTAGCAAAGGTTTTGTTTATTAAGCAAAAAAAATTAAAATTCTTTCTTCTACTTACCACTTTTTTCTTTTTAAATTACAATTGAAATAGACCTTATTTATTTTGAATTTTAATTTTTTAAAGGACAGAAATTTAAGAAGGCAGAATTTATCACTGGTAACTTGTCTGTTCTCTATTTATTAGTTTTGTTGTTTTTTACAGGATGCTGAAAATGATCCAAATGCTTTGCTGCTATTAAGTCTGATTAGACCCTTACCAAATTTTGGTAAAGATCACGTTAATGTCACGGTACGATTTGTGGATCAAAAAGTAAGTTTATTTTTATGACATTTTCGTTGTATCATAGCAGTTTACTGGTACCTTCTGTTTTGCTGTAAGTTAACTGGACGTCATAGGTTGTAGACATTTTATAGAAATTCTTTTTTTTAAACAATTATCAAATTTTTTTTTCGGTTTACTCTTGATGATAAAGAACAAAATTACTTTTGAATTTTTAAAATTGTCAAAAAAATTTGACTGGAAAACTCGATAGATCCACTTCTTGCATCACTTTTTTTTCGTTATTGAATATTATAATGTGGTAGTGCTGAGGAAGGCAGTAAGAAAAAAAGCAGAAAACAACTCGAGTATTTGTTTAAGGCATTTATAGTTACTTTTCTATTTCTATTTTCTCCAGATTTTTGACGATTAAACAATTACTTGTTTTAGATCAACTGGTTTTATTGGTTTCCCTCTTCGTTACTCATCTCTTTTTTTTGCTAAGAAGTCTTTCCTAATTTCTTGATTTGTTTTTCCTTTTTAAATTTGCTTTCGCTCTTCCTAACAACTCTTTTATAATGGTATGCTATCAGGTTTCTACTGCCTGCAGGCGAACTGCGCTTGTAACAAAATATGAAAAATTACTTTTTAGCTGTCTATAGTAAAGCTGCTAAATTTTGTGCTCTTCGACTGTTCTATACAGATATTATACGCATTTTTAGCAGTATGGCAAGGTAACAATATTAGCAGGAAATAATAAATTTATAGATGTTAACTTATTTGTGAATTTTATATATAAAAATATTATTTTGATGATGCTGACGGTGATGTTGGTGATGTTGATGACGATGATGATGCTGCTGCTGCTGATGTTGACGATGATTATGATGGTAATGGTGATGTTGATGTTGGTGATGATGATGATTATGATGGTAATGGTGATGCTGATGTTGGTAATGATGATGATGATGATGATGATGATGATGATGATGATGAGACTGATGATGATGATGATGATGATGATGATGATGATGATACAACGAAATGTAACTCGATGATTTTTAACGAAGGAAGGGTAAATATTGTATGGCTTTTATCAGTGAATATACAATTCGTCAGTTTTAGACAAAAATCGAAACAGATTTACTTTTTTTTTATAGAACATACACTTTCCACTTTTTTTCTGACTTTCTCTCTTCTTCTTAATTTCCTTGTTTTTATTTTATAATGATGCGAGAGCTCTAAGAATAGATGTACTTAATTCTTTTTTTTTTTTTATTCTGTTTGCATCTATCAATTTTCAGATATTTGTTTATATTAATTTCAGCTTACTGCAGTAGTATTATGTGATGTGTGTATGTGTACGTTTGTGTAATGGAGTAGTTTGATCTGCCGGGACTTTAATCTGATGTCTTACGGTTTGGTTAATGAATTGTCAATAATGAATGAAAATTAGTGGTTGGAAAGAAAGGGAAAAAACTAAGGTGGAAAAGGAAGTGAACAAGACTGGAACAGGAAAGGAACGGAGAAGGAAGAGGTTGACTAGGATGATTAGCGTTTGCCTCTTAACAACCGTCTTTAGCAGTTACAACTTAAGAGGCTAATTTTCAAAAAATGCTTCCCGTTCACTGCAGGTGACCTTCAGTATTGTTTGTGTCTGTGCTTCACCTGTTCTTTCAATCTAAATAATTTTTAAGAAAAAAAAAGAAAGAATTTATCGTTTTTCTTTCTTTTATAAACTATTAACAGTTGACCTCTTTTCTGTTTTGGGGGAAGGTGAAGGAAAGCGGATGAGGAGCGCTAAAACGTTCATGCTTAGCATCGTATTTCCGTTCAACCTGCAACACATGTTTACCAGTCGATTGTTGTTTAACGCTTCAAGAATATCATAATTACGTTTAAAAGAAAAAAAAAAGAGGAAAAAAGGAAGGCTTGGAAAAATAGAAAAAAAACAATTTTTTATGTTCTTCCTCATCTTTGTTACAATTATCTTTCAAAGCAAAATATGCTTCTGTGTTTCTGCTTTTCCACCTTATTTTTTTTAATTTTTAAATAAGGGGTTTTCTGTTCTCAGCAATTTGTTCGAAGTAATCAACAAAACTGATGATCATAAAATCTACTGTAACGACATACATCATCGTTTCTAAGCGATGAATGCGATGGAAGAAAACAAACAGAGACACGAATAGCTATATTACTGGTCTATTTGAGCTATCCTCCACATTTATTTAGTCTAGTTGATAAGAAGTTTAGGCATTAAACTCAATGAGGCTTAAAATGTATTTAAATGCTTTGAAATAGCGCAAAGAAGCGATAAGTGTTAAACTATAGTATTTTTCCTTTGCCATTGTCTTTCTGTTCCACTACTACTACTTTATCTTTTTCTTCTACTTCTGTCATTCTTTACATTCCTTCTCGTAAGTCAAAAGAGCAGTTGAGTGGATATAAGAGCACAATAAATGCAAACAAATGTATAGAGCGGCAGTAAGTGGTTGAAGAACGGCTAAATAGTATCGTAATCACCATTCAGCCAATATTTTTCGCAAGTATGTGAAGTTTTGCTTTGACAAAGATGAGCAGTTATAACCTGTTAAAGAATAGAAAACACATAAATGTAGCTTTTAATTTTGAAGAATTTTCTGATTCGAAAGAAATAAAGTTCAACTTTTTCAAATTAGATGTCGTCTAACTTTCCGACTTTTTCATTTATATATTCGTCTGTTTAGTTAAGTCATAATTAAACTACTAGATTTTTTATTTTAAAAACAAAAATTAAATACACAAAAAGTTTTTTTTTGAATTACATACATCACTTTTTTAAGCTTTATTAATGGAATAACAAAAATTAAACGCTGTTACAATTAAGTTACGGCTTTGATGAACGCTTTTCACTCAAACACGATTATACACCGTAGTATTTTTAGCCTGAACAAATATTTACATCAGAGGGTTGCTAAGACTGAATTTCTGCTGTCGTTGTTCAGCGTAAACGATACTGTATCTAAGTTTCATTTAACTTCTTCTTTTTGCAATTACAAAGCTTAAATTATTCAGTTACTGCTAAACATTTTTTGGTATTTTACTTATTTCTTACTCTCATATTCTACTGCGTTTCTGACAATCAAATATCCACCGGCTTTGTATTCCAATACTTCATAAGCTTCACTGGTAATTCGAGTTCTGCCAGTAGGACTGACATCAATGTGTATCAGACGAATTATTTTGGTGAATCAGCAACAACGACACTAAGAGAAGGGCTGTTAAAGACGACTGTGCTTTCTTTTTTCCTGTTACACCGTTTCGCTTACAAGAAAAAATTTTTTCAGAAAATTGCTGTTAGTTTATAGTTTAAACTCAAAAGCGAAGTAATTTTTTCACTCTAAAGCTAGTTTTTATCTATTGCAACAGTAGGTTTAGAGTAACGACAGAAAATAATGTCGTTTTTTAAAGGATAACTGTAATTGTACTGAAGACTAAAACTTGCAATAAGTATAAATAGAGGTGTTTGATGAGAAAAAGGAAAAGAAAAGGAAAAACAAAGAGGAAAGTCAAAGAATAATCAAGTGAATTTGAACGAGCACAAAGTGCTCAAAAAAAAAAAATAAATAAATAAATAAATAAATAAA